ATTAAAAATACTGGATAATAATTAATTATCAATGATTCTTAGTATGATATTTCTATAAGCATAGTTAAAAGTTATGGTCCTTATAAATTGGTCTTCAGGATGTGATTGGCCTTATGTTTTTTGGAGGCATGTGCTATCTGAAATTGAAAACAAATTTTTACAAATAAATAAAAGCAGAAATGATAGATATCTGTGACACTTATAAAATATCTCTGTGACGTAAAAAACATGTTGCATGGATATCTCTGTCACATCGCATTATTTGTTATGTCACATGGATATTACTTAAGTACATCACAGAGATATTTTTATTGTGATGTGATAAAAGGCGGATATTTCGATATCTCCGTGATATTAACGAAACGTCACTTTTCAAGATATCCCTGGGATCTGGGATATCCCTAATGAGATGTAACTGTGATATCACAGTGACGTCGCTGTGCTATATGAGTAACCATATATCAGAACGTAAAATTTTGCGGTCTCTTAATTTCCAGTGTCAAAAATAGGAGTTCCCATTTGAAAAAATCAAGTTGATCTTAAAATAATCCCTAAATTTGACTTTTTGGTTAAGGTCAAGGTCATTATCCATTTGCTTAGTTGAATTCCTACAACTTTTGTCTTGAAAGTTTTTCTTGAAAATTTGATCCTGCAAAGTTATTCAAGTAGTCTAATGTTTTTTTTAAAACCTTTATATAAAATTGTATGCATAATTACTAATACTTATTATTTTTATTTTCAGGTATGTAAGGAGATGTGTGAAGGCAATTTAGATATTGTGTGGACTATTATTTATATAATATAATCTATTTTAAATACATAATTATTTTAAGTAATATCCCAGATAGCCAAACCTGTGCGAGCAGATTTTACGCAGAGTCTGTCAACAGTGTCTGTTGACAGAATGGTAACAGACTGCACACAGAAACTGTTTTAGCAGTCTCTGACGACAGATTGGTGACAGACTGCGCGCAGAGCCTGTCGACAGATTCTGACGACAGACTGACGGCAGATTGCGCGCAGATTCTGTTTCCTAGATAGGCTATTTAATTCTATTAAGGGCCATATGTACGTTATTAAATGGGGCAGTTTCACATACTATGTAAAACTGCTACAGAGAAGTCAAGATAATTATATTGTGCAATAATTGTACACATATACACAATAAAAAACAATGTTTATATTTTAAAATTGTATTACTCATTTTTTATAAAAAAGCAACAATAATAGAGAAATAACGAGTACAAGTATAGAATAGTACAACGGTTAAATGGC